GTAAGTAGCTTTCAGAATAACCCCATCTTATGTACAACTACACACTGACACTAATAGCTTGTGTCTGCAGTAGCACAGAACATCTATTTCTTCTTTTCTTGTTGCTGATCTTGTTTTCACATGTCATAGTCTTCAGTGTCACATGATCCTTCAGAAATCATTTTAATATTCTGATTTGCTGCTCAAAATCAATACATTTTTACTGTTGACAACTATTTTTGATGCTTAACATTTTGAAAACTGGATTCTTTGATGAAAATATAGTTCAAAAGTATAGAATTTTGTGAAATAGAAATATTTTCTAACAGTATAAATGTCTTTTTTAGGGTTAGTTATATAAAATAATTAATTTCTTTCTTTTTTTTTAATTGAACTTTTTGATGGTAGTCTATCACAGTTTCTACAAAAATATTAAGCAGCAAAAACTATATTTGCAAAGTTTGCTTTGATAATAAATTAATCTTGAGCAGCAAATCAGCATATTAGAATTATTTCTGAAGGATCATGTGACACTGAAGACTGGAGTAATGATGCTGAAAATAATAATATATTCACATAGAAAACAGTTATTTTAATATTTTAAAAGTATTTTTTAAATAAGTATTCATATTTAATATTTAATGTAATAATATTTCACACTATTGCTGTTTTTTACTGTATTTTTGATTAAATAAATGCAGCCTTGTTGAGCAGAAGAGGCTTCTTTCAAAAATATTTAAAAATATGAATCATTCCAAACTTTTGACTTAAAGTAGGCCTATATAAATATGGTTTTGGTATAAGGAACAGCACAATATATGAGGCTAATATATAAGATTCTTCCAGTAAAGTGTGATTTGAATTTGTGGAGTTTGCTGGTGTGATTCAGGGTTTGTTCTTGATGTTGGTCGTGTTCAGACACGCACATCTGCTGAATCAAGCAGACCACATGTCAGTCACCACCTCCTGGAATAATCCAGCCGAAACACACACACACACACACACACACACACACACACACACACACACACACACACACACACACACACACACACACAAACATGCACACACACAAACATGCACGCGCACACACACACACACACACACACACACACACACACACACACACACACACATACACATACACACACACACACACACACACACACACACACAAACACGCACTCACACATACACATACACACACAGGCAAATTCAAATCCTTTGAATAAACACTTATGTCCATTTACAGCCAGGAAAGAGTGAAAGGGCATAAACAACTCCATCGACCTAAACAAAGATTACATTTAAATGAAAAGAACATAATAAAAACACACAGGAAGTAGCGGATGTTTGACGTATCATACATGAAATACTGCTTTTGTTTTCATGATGAGAAACAACAGTATTACATGTAAAAGTAAAGTAGTTGCATCAACGGTTCTGTAAGTACGCATGTGATTATCTCATTATGTGGTGCCTTCATACACACACGTCCATTAATACGAGATAACATCTACTCATCCCTCAATCTATCCTTTCTTCTTTCAGAGTGGGAACAGACAGAGAGACAGATGGGCTAGACGGGCGGGACAGGCTGTTTCTTTTGCATTACACTCAACAGAGTGTTTTAAAGCCTTCACCATCTTAAAAATAAGGCCAGAAGCTCGTGAAAGTGTGCAATGCAGATATGAATAATGATCTAACCCACTTTCTACCAATCTAACACTTTAACACTGTCCTCAAGAGTTAGATTCAAATGTATGGGCCACTAAACTGTGTGTTTATTTATGAATAACAACACGTTTAACTGACTTTCTGAAAACATTTTTTTCAAACTGTTACTGTATTATGACAGTAGTTGTGACGAATAAAGCAAACTAACCATAGAAGAAGACAGTTTAAATTAATGCATGCTATAGTGCCCCTTGTGGCAGCACTGAAAATGCGTCTATAATACAACAAAGCAAAAATCCAAGTTTCCTAGCTAAAATCTTTCATGTATTTGAGTAGAGCATGTTTCAGGCCTTAAGGCTGTTCAGTGGGTCTTTGCAGCATCTTCATTCATGACATTGGAAATGAAGTGCATTGTGGGAAACATATACCATATTTTTCATATTTACCATATAGAAAATTTGCATATAGAGAATGGTAGCCTATAACTATTAGAAAACATTAAGAGTAATATGGTAAAACAACAACCTTCTAACTAAAGAGCTTTGAAAATGTAATTAGGATGTAAGTACAGTTTTATCTTACTGAATACATGCAGTTGATGCGGATTCTCGTATGTTTGAAGGCCAGAGGTTTGGTATCACAAATGTTTGCTGTTATTTCTATGATGTTGGCATTTACTAACCCTCAAGTTGTTTCAAACCTGTATGAATTTCTTTCTTCTGTTGAATAAATGAAGAAGATTTTTTGAAGAATATGGGCAAACAAAAAGTTGATGGACCACATTGACTTCCATAGTATGGAAATAAATAAATAAATATTCTGAACTGTTTGGTTACCGACATTCTTCAAAATATCTTCTTTTGTGTTAAGCAGAAAATAGAAATTCATACAGGTTCGGAACAACTTGAGTAAATGATGACAGAATTTCAGTTTTTGGGTGAACTGTCCCTTTAAGGACACCTTAAATACTCAACTCTCCCTCTTCCAGCTCATGACATCAGCGCTGAAACATTATTGAGCCTCAGTACTGACAGCAACTCTATTAACTGTACATAAAAGACCACTTTACTTTTTTATTAGCTTCAGATTTAACATCCTGAAACGTTGGACGAATACGGAGGAAAATCCAGAGTTTGCACACTTTTAGTCTGCACCTAAAACCTGTGATTTCTGTACAGCTACAATTTTAAATTTGACATTCACAACACGTATAAGAGAAACACAGACATTGCAAAGTAGGTAGAAATTTGAGATATCAATATATCAGTTCTTACACTGTTCTTGTGAAATATAGAATATAAAAAATATGTAAATGTGACATTTAAAGTCCCCCGAGTCAATCATTTTATCCCTTAAAATTCATCTTTGATCACCAAAATGACATATGTAAAAAAAAAAAAACTTGAAAAAAAATTCTTCATGCCTTAAAATATCTTGAATGTAACTCGACACCCTTGCTTCATTTAGTATACCGGTATGCAGTTCTATGAATATGCAAATGAGCCCCGCCTCCACTCACTCGCTCAGCTCAGAGATCCACTGGTTGACGATCACACGTTGATCTGATTGGTTACAAGGTAGTTTGTGACGTCAGAAACACCAGCGATTTCAAACCGTGTTTTTGAGACTGTCTTTGGTTCACTGCAGTTTTAAGGAGGAAATACTCAGCAATGCTGTCGACTTATGAACTTACACATGGTGTGTCTTAAAGCATATTAAAAACACCACATAGACACATAAACAACATTAAAAGCTGGATTTTCACCACAGTGGGACTTTAATATTTAAAATATTGCATTTGCACCAAGGCAAAATATATCATTTGAAATTTGAAATATGAAATTGCTACATAATACCAAAGACTTTAGAAATACAAAGACGGTGCCCTAATATAACCACAGAATAGGAGAAGGAAAGCACAATATGGTGGAATAAGTCCCGCCTTCTAAATAAAACAGCCAATCGCTGATTGGTAAAGTAATTTATTCATGAGATCCGCTCTTATGCCTGCACATTCGCATTGGCTGGTCTAGCCTGAAAAATAAGCTATTTAACGCTATTTGAGCATATGAAACAACATTTACGAGATGTCAGATTTTGTTGCTGATTTGAAATATGTTATTTAATTGTGATTTTGACAAGCAGTTTTTGAGATTTCAGGATTCCCCCATTCAAATAGATGGCGTTGCAAATATGGCTGCCGGGTGAACAGACTTTCCTTGAACGGCACTTTGATAATAACAAAAGGACAAATATGGTATATTAGTTTAATGACATCATTATCTGTGATTTATGAAGGGTTTTTCTCTCTCATTAACAAATATTATTGAATGCATTGGGAAATATGGAATACTTATCAATCACACTGAGGTATGTAATCTCACACTCTCGCTCAAATAGTAGTGCACAAAATGGATTACATCTATTGTAATGCGCACACACACACAAACACACCTATCTGCACATGAATTTGGGAATCTGGTGGAACTTCTGGTTTCATAAATGCAGAATGAGTGATGAAAAAAGAGGTAGCATTTGAAACAAAAGTCAAATTCTTCTAGTTTTAAGAGCGAGGCAGAGGATGGCCAACGCTGAGGTTATGAAGGACTGAGGCTGGGAAAGCACAAACTACACATTGTGCCTCGTTATTTATTTATATAGAATTGGAGTGGAATTTCTGGGGTTTGGCCCAATTCTTTAAACCACCAGTGGTGTGTGTGTGTGTGTGTGACACACACACACACACCACTCGTGTGTGTATCAGCCGGCTTGTGCACATGCTGCAGGGAAACTGTCCCATCACAAGTTAGCTGGCATGACTTACTGACATTAAAACAGGAGCGAGTCGAGCGCTTTTCTGCCGGTAGCGTTTGTCGAGCTGTGCATGAATCTTTCTGCTTGTCCAGTTACAGGAATAGTTCACCCAAAAAGGAACATTTCAACATCGTTTAAATATAAAACTTTGTAACTAACTGTTTATAACTATGTCATAATAATCAAATGAATCACTTGATACAATGCACGTATTGTGTAGTTGTGTTTTTACCATAGACTGTAATCAAATATGGACGTAGTGTCAGTGACGTCACCCGTAGGTCGCCATCTTGGCCGCGCGTCACTCCCGGATAAACGAAAATGTGCAGCGAGGCGGATTAGCAGAGGTGACGTGACGCTAACAGACAGCAGACAAACGGCTAGTAGTGACATCAGCGTCGATCCACCTGTCACTCAAGTGGCCACGCCCTTAATTATGCAGAACTTTAAGGCTTAATATAATTTAAACGGATGAGTTATAGAAAAAATTCACCCCCCTCACAGTTGTCATGAAGGGCAAAATTAGCTAT